TTACACAATTGATGTATGTATGGATTGTGATAAGAGTCGTATGAGCCCCTAATAAAACGATTAAAAAAAGAAGAAAAGAAAAAGGACCCTGCTGGGTCCTGTTTTCAAGAGGTAAGGATGCGTCTCCCTCATTGTGTATCTCTGAGCAACCGCAGTGGAAATATTTGGGGCGGGAGTAGGCCGGAAGGTAGGGAGGTAGCAGTTCAGCACACATCTGAAACCAGGTGTGGTGAGGCTTTTAATCTGAATGGGAAACGGGATGAAATTAAGTCAGGACGTTCAGGGACGGACAGCTAGAAGGAAACTGATCCAGAAACACTATGTGAAGCTTGGCTAGAGGCGGTTGCAGACGGTGGCTCCGTGAGCCTGGGCGGTGGAAATTGCATCTGCGATCCGATCCTCGGGCTGCCGACCAGCGGGTGGCAGCGGCAGCAGTGGGAGCCGAACTGCATGCACCAGCCAGCACGTCCGTTCATGAAAACCGAGGGGCAGGTGACACTGATCAGTTGGATAGGGTTATTATTGAAACTCAGAATTCTTACAGTGAAATTGCTAGTGTTTGATGAGATGACCCCTGGTTCTCTCGGAGGTAAGTCCACTCGTTTTCTAATGAGCCCTGGGGGGTTCTGCCTCAGCGGGACTCAGTAGGTTTTAGGCTGGGCCCCAAACCTGTGCAAACACCATTTCGCTTCCTACTTAGAACCAACCCTACCAGGATCACACCATCTCCTTTCAAACTTCCAAGCCACCCTCTCCTTGTCATCACCAATTTACTGAGGCAGAAATAGGGTTCGGAAGAGGGAAGCCGGCGCAGACTGGGGAGCGGGCATGCTTAGCCTGCCCGAGCTGGCTGGGGACCCGGCAGGTTGGCTGCAGAACCTCTTTCCCATCTCCTGTGTAGTTTCTGTGATATCGCGGGGAATGGCTTGGTGGGAGCAGCAGGGAAAGGCTCAGATGGAACGCCTTTTCCACGCCGTTTTCGCCTTTACTTTAGCTCGCCTTTACTTTAGATCGGTAGGTAAGTAGTTTGTCGGCTCCGGCACAGGACTCTGAGTTGCGGGGAAGCAGCGAAGTGAGGGTGGAAAGAGGTCCTGGGTGAGAGCCAGGTAGCCTGCACCCGCCTTAGCTGCGTAACTTCAGCACGCCTGACACCTTTCTGAGCAGAACCATGAGGGATTGTGTAAAGAGGGGAGCAGTAGAAAGCTGGGATGCGCCTGGGACACAGAGGCTGCTCAGGAAATGCCATTTCGCTCAGCCTGCGCCTCGCTCTGCCACCCAGCGCTTGACACGGTCCGATGAATGCAGTGACAGCAAAAGGTCCTTGTCAGTTTTAGGGGTATTTCAGGCTGAGGAGTTCGATGTGCGAAAGCTTCTGTCCGCCGGGTTCGCAAGGTTCTGGGGCGCCATTCCGCCTGGGCGCACTGGGTCCCTGCGAGCGCGCAGCCCCGTTTCATGGAGCCATCGTGATCGGAAGAGGGCGCTCCGGGGCCGCGAGAGCGCGCGGCTCGGGTTGGGGCACTCGCGGGGCACCGGGCGCAGGCGGCAGTCCCGGGTTGTCCGCAGTCGGAACGCGCCCGCCAGCCCAGCGAGTGCGAAGTCAGCGCCCTTGGGGCGCAGCAGGGCGCACGAATCGCCAGCGCCCTGCGCGGAGCCCTACGCGCGCTTGGTGAGGACGAGCTCCCGCCAGATCCGTTTCACCGGAGTTGGGGGCACTTGGAGGTGGTAAGGTGGGAGAAGGAGCCGCTATTGACGTAGTTAGTGTGTATGGAAGGATGGAAAGGGTCCTTCCTGGCGCAGGGCTTTGTGCAGGGGTTGGGGCGTCGCCAAGAGGCTCTGGATGTCGGGGCGGGTCTGTGCACACAGGGGACTCCTAACTTGAGGTCGCAGCCTCGGGATTTGCCTCGTGGTCCCTGCCACCGACCATCTGGACACCTGGAGGTTGGTGGGTCAACCTAGGGCCGGCAAACGCTCACCTGCGCGTCCCCCACCCCGTGCGCCCACAGCACCTTTGGGGGATCCACTTGCAAGCAGCAACTCAGCCTGTCAGGAGCTGCCCGCCCCCAGGGCAGGGGAGGGGACGCGGGGGCGGTGGGCTGTGCCCCGCAGGACACCTCCCCTCCCAATCCCTCCAGAGGCCGGATCGCCCGAGATTGCCAGCTCGGCTCTCTGTTAAGCGTCCCCCAGGCTCCTGAAGTTGGCCCGCCGACGGTGCTGCGGGGAGGTGAGGGGTCCTGCTCCAAGGGGCAGCAAGGGCCGCTAGCGGAGCGTGGGGGCACTAGGCTCAGAGAGGTAGGAAAAGCCGCCTAAGTGCTCAGTCCTGGGGCTGCCCACGCCTAGGTAAACGCTGGGCGCTGGGGTCGGGCTCCCTCGGAGGCTGCGCAGCAGAGCTGCGCTGCCTCTTTGGGGCCCTAGAGCGGCTTCCCTTCCCCAAACCCGACCTGGGGATTTTTAAGCCTGGAGAGCCAAACCGGCTGAGACAGGCGGCCGAGGCAGGCAGGACCCCGCATACCTCTCTGGCGTGTGGAGCTGTGGCGCTTCGCCAAGTTTCCTTTCTGAGCTCCAGGCGTTTGGAGGGAGGCAATCTAGACAAGGTAGGTGATTGGGAGGTCTTGTCAGTTCAAGGTTAGGTTGGGATTGAGTGGAGCCCAGACTAGATCTACTCAAGTGTTAGTGAACGTCTGCGTATCTTTGCTTTTTGTGCTTTTAGGGCCTTTGGAGAGCTGCTGAGGATCTAGGGGCTTGGAGGGTCGCGGCATGTGTTTTCTCACCTTAGGAGAGGAGAACTCTCGGATGGACCCCACCGCCCGCAGCCAACAGCTCTGAAGTGTGACTGCAATCGACTAGCTCAGCAGAGGCCCCAGAGTCTCTGGATTGATAGCTTGGAATATGCCACAAGGTGAGGGGCCAGCTGGTCTCCATGACAGGGACCCAGAGCACAGCAACTGTGGAGAGCAAGAGGGACTGTTCAGGAGGCTGACTTGGGATGCCGAGATGAGGCTCCTGCCCTGCCATTCTTGCACCCCTCTGACGGAAGGCTGGTGACGTCCTGCCCTCGGGAAAGCACGTTGAGTTGATGTGAAAGGGGCTGCCTAGCCAGAGAGGAAGGACTCCTGGAGGCAGACTGACCTGTGATCCCTGCTGCGGGACTTCGGAGCCCTGGATGGGCCGTCCCTCAGCAAGATGAGGACGCTGAACACCTCGGCCATGGACGGGTCTGGGCTGGTGGTGGAGCGTGCCTTCTCCTTCCGCATCCTCACGGCTTGCTTCCTGTCCCTGCTCATCCTGTCCACGCTGCTGGGGAACACGCTGGTCTGTGCCGCCGTCATCAGGTTCCGACACCTGCGGTCCAAGGTGACCAACTTCTTCGTCATCTCCTTGGCCGTGTCCGATCTCTTGGTGGCTGTCTTGGTCATGCCCTGGAAGGCAGTGGCAGAGATCGCTGGCTTCTGGCCCTTTGGGTCCTTCTGCAACATCTGGGTGGCCTTTGACATCATGTGCTCCACGGCGTCCATCCTTAATCTCTGTGTGATCAGCGTGGACCGGTACTGGGCCATCTCCAGCCCCTTCAGGTACGAGCGCAAGATGACTCCGAAGGCCGCCTTCATTCTGATCAGCGTGGCGTGGACCCTCTCTGTGCTCATCTCTTTCATCCCTGTGCAGCTGAGCTGGCACAAGGCCAAGTCCACGAGCCCCTCCGATGGGAACGCCACGTCCCTGGATGAGACCACGGACAACTGTGACTCCAGCCTGAGCCGGACATACGCTATCTCGTCGTCCCTCATAAGCTTTTACATCCCTGTGGCCATCATGATCGTCACCTACACCAGGATCTACAGGATCGCCCAGAAACAAATCCGGCGCATCTCGGCCTTGGAGAGGGCGGCAGTCCACGCCAAGAATTGCCAGACCACCACGGGCAATGGAAACGCAGCCGAGGGTTCGCAGCCAGAAAGCTCCTTTAAGATGTCCTTCAAAAGAGAGACTAAAGTTCTGAAGACGCTGTCTGTGATCATGGGCGTGTTTGTGTGCTGCTGGCTGCCCTTTTTCATCTTGAACTGCATGGTGCCCTTCTGCGGCTCGGGAGAGACCCAGCCTTTCTGCATAGACTCTATCACCTTCGATGTGTTCGTGTGGTTTGGGTGGGCGAATTCCTCCTTGAACCCCATCATCTACGCTTTCAATGCTGATTTCAGGAAGGCATTTTCCACCCTCTTAGGATGCTACCGGCTTTGCCCGACCACTAACAATGCCATCGAGACGGTCAGCATCAATAACAATGGGGCTGTGGTGTTCTCTAGCCACCACGAGCCCCGAGGATCCATTTCCAAGGAGTGCAACCTGGTCTACCTAATCCCGCATGCCGTGGGCTCCTCTGAGAACTTGAAGAAAGAGGAGGCTGGTGGGGTAGCCAGACCCCCGGAGAAGCTATCCCCAGCCCTCTCTGTCATATTGGACTATGACACGGACGTCTCTCTCGAGAAGATCCAGCCCATCACACAAAATGGGCAGCACGCTACCTGAGCTCCACAGGAATCCCACCACCCATGCTCCCCCCCAAAGCTAGGAGAATTTCCCTGGGGCTGGCTGTCAAGTTTTTGCTGAAGTTCAGTGAGATTGCAGGCAAGCCTTCCTCTGCTGCTTGACAAATACCCCCCACCCTCACCCCACGTCAAACACAACTCACTGTCCAATACAGCCCGGTGTGTTTTCTGTGTCACTCCGAGTGACTCAGACAGGGACACCTGTGAAGCTTGCCCTCACACATAGCTTCTATGGCATTCAGAGGTTTTTGCTTTTTTTTCCAAATTTTGATTATTTTGATTCCAAGATTGTCTTTAGAAGCTGATTCTTATTTTAGGATTAAAAAATAATAATAATAGGGGCTGGGGTGGGTCCAAGGAATTCACAGTGAGCAGCTTCACTTAAAATTGAAACCTTTCCGGGAAAGAAGGGTTGAGTTTGCGGTGTACAAACAGGTGCTAACACTGTTCCGAGCAAAGTGTTCCGATTGTAAAGGTAGGTGCATGTCTTCGTGAATGTTTCTGAACCCTAGCTGAGCCTTGCAGTCGGAAGAGGAGCTTTCCTTGTTTCCCTTTCCTTTCCCCCCAAAGAGATGCGTGGTTGATATTGGTTTTATTTATTGTATTATATGGATATTTTAATTTATTATACTAAATCTATATTTATCATATTTAATAGGACAAACTAAGGAGCTATCAGAGATCTTCAAACCACATTTTTACCCATTTTAACTAGCACTTTATAAGCCGATGAAACAAATACACAGATCCTCTGAGGCTTTCGATGCTCCCGTGGACCTGGTCGAAATGCATCCAAGTATGGTAAGAAGGGAAGTTGAGCTGCGGTGACTCCTGCAAATTCATTTCTAGGAATAAAAACAAGGCAAGAGCCGACAAATGCTGTGAATGCTCTTTTCATTTTCTAGAGAGATAATTTTCTTTTTTTTTTAAACATAGCTTTCTATGGCAGTCAGAGGTTTTTGCTTTTTTTCAAATGACAGAGACTTTCTGAGGAGAATAATTTGCAGTTCTGTAAATATCTCAAGTAAAAACCAGCTGAAGAAGAATCCAACTTCTGACTTAAGATGTTAGGTGGTAATCATAAGTATATGCCATGTTGTATTTATGTGAAATAATCGACCCTCCCCATCTTTCTCTCATTTTGGTGTCTGACAGCTTTTCTGAACCAAATGGCTGTTGAAAACCGTGGGTTTCCTTGACTCCCGTGTCCCGACAGCTTCATCATGGACACAGCTCTAAGCCTGAGTGTCCACCTCGCCCGGGGGCACTGTACCACTCAGTGGGGCTATTTTTCATAGTGTTTTAATTTGAACTTAGATTGGATTGTTTTGGTCTTTAACTATGAATGATGTAATGACTAATACATAGTGCCTCATTATCATTGTTGAGTAAGATGCTTCTGTTGGTGGGGAAAAACAGGAGGCCCTTTCTGTTTGGGGGTGCTTAGCACCCCAAAGGCCTCAGTATTCCTTTTGCCAAACGCTGGTCCTTTCTTTGTGCTTTGGACTCTTGTCCCTGTGTCATCCCCTGGACTGTACAAAGTATCAGACGCCTCCGTTACCAGATACTGGCATTTTGGGAGCAATGCTTTGAAATGTTTACCGAGTGTTCTTGTTGAGTTTCACATTGGGAGGATCCTGGGAATGGGAACACAATCCTCTGATGGGTAGATCCTGCCTCAGGTCTGTGAGATTCATGTATTGTGAATGTTTTCTTCATCTTATTGCCTGTATTTTGCTTTCATACATATAATAAAATTATTTTGTGAACTCCAATCGACCTTGCCTGAGCTGTGTTGCATTGATTATATGCGTTTCTAAAAATTAGAATAGTTCAGCTCCAGGATAACAGGAGTGTTTTCAAATAGACGTTATTTTGTTGTTGTTGAATGGAAGCTTCTCCCATCTTGTATACCACATGTTGCCTTTGAATATGTAAACGGGAATGTGTTTTCTGCTTCCGGCTACCTACTCTTTTATCTTATTTTTTAAAGAGACATTTCTTTACTTGAGGGATTCCTTTACTCTCGCTTCACAGGTATGAAAGCTTTCTCAATGCTCTGCTGTTTCTTCTCAGAAGCTCCTGGGCTTTTAAGTTATGAAATAAAAATTGAGAGTTGGGAAAGAATGTCAAAAATTGCAAAGAGACCGTGGCTTCCTCTGGGGTGGCTGTGGACTCAGACGTTGGCCCTCACTGGGGTGTGGTGTGCCTTTATGAAGAAAACTCAAGCAGGGATTTTCCCTGGAGAGAACCTACAAGCCAGCATCCGGGGCTCATCCACAGGTCCTGCTACACTGACTTAGTGTAGTAAGCACCTCCCTCCCCCACTTCATTCAGAAGCAGGACGGTGGCTGAACAGCAGGTGATGCAGTCATTAAGGGTTAAGTTTATAATTTGGGACATCATACAACAGATGGTGTCTTTTTAACCCCGTGTTTGCCTCCCTGGGCTTTGTCATGTAATGAATATATCTATCAGGAGCGCCCCCACTCATGAAGACTTTTCTTTCAGCTCCCGAACTTTCTCGTTATCTTCATTCCTTGCGGTTTAGTTTTGTTCTTAAATTAGATCTCCAGCGACACTGGCTCTGACGTTCGGGTTGTTGTTGTGCAATCAAGGAAGCCTTCCCCATCACTCTAGTCCAAGGAGTGACACACAAGTGATCTGGGTGGAAATCATACTCAATAACTGTATAACTCAACGCTCTGTAGATGAGAATGTGCCTTGGTCTCCCAGTCTGTTGGATGGATAAAGGGCATTTTGTGATGTTCATTTTTTGGAAAGGAACTTTAGAAGGATTTGGTTTACAACTAGAAAAGCACAATGGTAATGTGGTTAATTCCTTTTTAAAAACTTTCTCTTAACAATGCCACGTACATGAAAAACACGTTTGTAAGGCAGCGCCAATTTAAAAGCGGTGTTCTTTCCCCTCTCCATCTAACACGGTGCCCGCCTTCTTAATCTAATAGACCCGGATCCCTTGTTCTCCTTTGGTGACTGACAGCACAGTACATCTTGAGTAAGGGAAACTGAACACTTGGCTTCAATCCCAATGGACTTTGGGATCATTCAGGAAAGTCACTGTTTCTTCTGGACTCTAAGCTACATCCCACTCTCTGAGCCTTGGTTGCTCAGTGTGCCATCCAGTCCTTTCTAATCCATGGCTGCTCCCTGTGTGTGCGCGAGCAGGGTTGTACTCTGGGGGCTTTGCATGGGTTGATTTTTCAGACGTAGATCACCCAGCCTTTCTCCCAAGGGGCCTCTGGGGGGACTCCAACTCCCAGCCTTTCTGTTAGCAGTGGGGTGTGTTAACCATTTGCATCACCCAGAAACCCCTCAGTGAAGAGGAGGTCATCTCCATCCCCCACCAAACAAACAAACAAACCCCAAGTTGATATGTTATCTACTTGCAGAGACTTTCTGAAAGTTCTTCACTCTGGGATCTCTATCATGATTTTTTTTCACCCCAGGCCTGTACTGGCAGCATCTCCCTGTTCATGGTTGGTCCCTAGAAAGCAGGCATTGGGTCAGACAGACGTGTGTTCACATGGCTGCTACCACTTTCAAGCTGTGTGACAGTAAACAGATATTTTTACTTCTCTGAGCTGGTTCTTCCATTTGTGAACTGGAAATAAGCCTGCAGGTTCTGGCGAGGGAACAATGAAGCCAAGTCTGCAAGGGACCGAGCTCTGAGCAGTGGGGCTCACAGATTCTTCGCAGGGTCAGGATTTTGACAACTGTCGATCTCTAATAGATACTGCATTCGTGATACAGGATCAGCTCTGCATCTGACTTCCTCATATGTCTGCTTGAAGCAAATAGACATGACTCATTGAACACATGCAGTTTCGGATTCTCCTGGACACCGTGCCCTTTGCTGGGGTTATGCGGTGCTCCAGAAGCAAACAGCTTTCTATATCTGCACACTTTAGACAATTGCCCTAATTTAGCACTAGATACTGGCTAAACAAGTCTATCCACAATATTTTAATCTGTAAAGTCTACTTACCTTGCAGAATTTGTTCCAGGAATAATGAATTAATGGCCAGCTTTGAGCAGCTACCTACCTTGGACATCTGAAGAGACTAATCCAGTGGATTATGAGATTGGAGCATTTTATAGATTAGATGCATCTCTATGGATTTTTCCCATAGAGATTCCCTGCAGAGAAAATATGACAATAACCGACAGTTTACTGTACCGAGGGCAAGGAGTGGGGTGAACAGAGGAGATCCCAGAAATGTTGTACACGGTCTACGCTATATTGCCTCTGTCATGTTAACTAACTTCCATCTAGCCTACAGAGTTAAAAAGCATTTGATTTGGACTTTAGTCTGCTATATTACTCGATGTTTAAGAGTTGTCATTTAAATAGTATTAGAAGCTCAAGAATAATCCCTGATTTAAAAGGGTTTAACTTTCAATCACTATGAGAAGATGCTTAAAACCAATTAGAACCAACTTTACAATGCTCTCTATTTGATATCAAGGGTATTTACATCTCTGAACTATGGTTGGAGGGGATTCGGCAGAGGATTAATCCACCTGGGGGCCCTGAAAATGGACGTTGGGCTTCCACTGTCCTCTCTAGCCTTGTGTAAACTGGGTGTTCAGAACATTAGCTCTGAAAATGTTCCTCCTTTGGATTTGGGTTTCATCGTTTGCAACCACACAGACTGGTGTTCCACACGGACTCAGTGGACTCCTTTTGTAGATGACTGCTTGTTTTAAATAAGCCTTTAAGACCACAGATGCCACATTTTCTGATAGCCAGACACCAACCATTTGGTTTCTTCACCATAGGTTTCTATAGCACCCAGATCCTTAGGGAGCTCTTCCTGGGGGTGAGTATTGAGTAGGGCCATGTCATAAAAACTAATTGTTCTTAGGTTGGGGTTAGAATTAAGTATGAGGCCAACATCCATTCATATATCTGTGGTTTCTGTATGTCTCTGGTTCATCTTAGAGACATCCTTACCAAGAGTTCCCTTTTACCGAGCCCAGTAATCAGATACCAACACTGTCCATGAATGATCACACTCTATTCTCAAGCTTATCTTAAGAGATGCGCGTAATTAGCACCAGCCTCATTTCACAGGTAAGAATAATTAAGGTTCAAAGAGAGCAGTATCCTGTGTCAGAGGCCACACAGTTGGTATGTGATAAAGCCAGATTGGAACCTAGGGCTTTGTGACTTCAAAGCCTTGTTCTCTTAATGATGAGCTTGTTGTGTTTACCAGGAACAGTCTTACACAAATGGGTAGCATCTTAAAGGAGACTTTAAGTGGCTCAAGTGTCGGTGAATTTAAAAAGTACTCTGGATTATTGGCATTTGCAACACATATCAGGAAGAAAGTTGAGGTTTTCTACTCCTGTGAAGAGTTACAGTCTCAGAAACCTATAGGGGTAGCTCTATCCTGTCCTATAGTTTTGCTATGGTCCAAAATTGACTTGATGGTAGTGAGTTTGGAGTATTTTGGAAGTACATTCCAAAAAGTAGACAGATTTTGTGTAATGAACCCCTGTGTGCCCATTTCACTTTAAAGCATCATCAAGACTAATGTTGCTGTCCCTTGAAAAGGTTGGGTTAGCCATGACAACAAGTCATCTTCTATTTTTGGATAGAACTCAAAGTTCAAGCCAAATGACTTTTATGGCATTTTTATTTTAAAACCATAGCTTGCCAAGTCAAAGATAATAAACCCAGGCAGTGACTCATTCAAGGATTGAAATAGTCCTACGTTCTTGGGTTCATTTGACTAGGATACACTTACTCCATTTACATCAGCAAACACTTATCTGGATCAAGTGCTGCTTCCAGAGGGTGGCGCGGGAATGGTAAAGCTACCAATGGTGGAATGCTGTCAATGGCACGTCTAGGTTCTGGGAAGATGCAGAAGAAAGGCCTGGCGATCTACTTCCAGAAAGTAGCCAATGAGAACCTTACGAACCTCCGCCCAAAACATTGCCTAGCTCACTTGATTTGGACACATCTTTGGGCGGTGTCAGTCGCCAGAGGAAGACATGCTTGGTGAAAGAGAGGGGTGGGGAGTGTGAGAGACGGATTGGTACAATAGCTATGAGGATGGGCTCAGCCACGTTGCATGTTGTGGAGCCCACTCACAGACAGCAACAAAAGAAGCTCTGTCCCCAAAGGGGTCCCTCAACTGTCAAGTGAACTCCTCTGGAGCGGTGTCCATCTTCTGCAAGATTTTTTTTGTCGGTGCACCTGAATAATTGCTGGGTGAGAACTCAACCCCCTCCCCATCTCCTAGTTCCCTCTCCCATTATACTTGCCTGTTTAAACCCAAACCCGAGATCCAACCCCTTTCCAGGGAGTCCATTTGGACTCATGGCGACTAGCGATGCATCAGAGCAGAGCTGTGCCCCACAGGACTTTCCGTGATGCATTGTTCAGCAGTGGGTTGCCAAGACTTTCTTCTGAGGTGCCTCGGGTTTATCCTCAGGGCATCCTAATAATTGTCACTCCTCCGGGATGCCGACACACCTGTTTACTCTTCTCAATACACTCTGGGGTATCGGGGCAACAGAGCACCCTTCCTTCTTCTAGTCTTCATCTGTTCATGACTCAGCTTACTGGTTCAAGGTAGGCAGTGTGTCATTGTCGGCATTGCATCCTCAGAGCTCAGCATTGCCTGGCATGCCGACCTAGAGTGGTATCCAGCTCACTCTGGTTTCAGGGAATATGTGAGTGAATCCCTTTAGTGAAATGGTTTACCAGGGTCAGTTGTAAGCAGGTGGCTCCAAATCATGA